CTAGAAGGTAATAAAAAGAGGATAGAGTAATAAAATCAAGCAAATATCTACAAAGTAATAAAAAGGTTACAGAGCAATAAAAACAAGTGGATATCAATAAAGCAATAAAATAGCCACAGATCATGAAAACAAATAACTAGATAGCAATTTATTCGTAACTAGGTAACAGTTTACTCATAACTAGATAGCATTATAGCGGAACTGGATAATACTCTTATAAAAGTGTTATCCAGTCCTTTCTTTTTTTTTTAGAAAACTTATACGTGAAATGAAGGAACGATCAGGATTTAAAAGAACGAACTATGGTAAGTTCGTTTCTTTTATTTTTATTTTATTTTTTTTTACTTAAAAGAACATAATTAACGTTCCCTTTCTTTTTTTTTAGGAAACCTGGACGTAAGACAAAGGAACAATTAGGATTTAAAAGAACGAACTATAGTAAGTTTGTTTCTTTTATTTTATTTTTTTTTTTTTAAGGAACGTAATTAACATTCCCTTTCCTTTTTTTAGTGATTTTATATAATAAAAGTGAATTGCAGTATCAGANAAAAGAACGAACTATAGTAAGTTTGTTTCTTTTATTTTATTTTTTTTTTTTTTACTTAAGGGAACATAATTAACGTTCTCTTTTTTTAGGAAATCTGGACATGAGACGAAGCTGAACAACTAGGATTTAAAAGAATGAACTATGATAAATTTGTTTTTTTTATTTTTATTTTTATTTTTACTTGAGAAATGTAATTAACATTCCCTTCCTTTTTTTTAGGATAAGTAGAGTTCTGAACAGGTTGTCTAAATTCAGGTAACCTGACAGGTTGTCCTGAATTTTTCATGCCAGGTTTAGCAATTCAGCATCAGTTCAGATTGTAACATCAGTATAACCTGAATGACTTGTTGATCTGAAACTATAATTTTATATAATAAGTGAGTTATGGTATTACAGTATAATTCACTTTTTATATTGATTTTATATAATAAAAGTGAATTGCAGTATCAGAATTCATTTTTTTATATTTATTTTATATTTAAAAAGTTTGCAGTATTGCAATTAACCTTTTTATACAATTTTAATATAAAAAACTGAATCACAATATTTCAAAAAAATGTTTTGCACCATTTTTTTTTTGATATTTTAATATAAATCCTAAAAATTTTCAGATTTCAGTTCAGGTCAGATCAAACAGATAATCTGATATAACCTGACCTGACCTGACCTAAAAAAAAATTTCAGGTTAGGTTTATCAATTAACCTGACTTGACCTGACTCATTCGGAACTCTAAAGATAAGAATCAGATCTGAACTAAATTCAGATTAGATTCAAATCAGATTCAAATGGATCTGAAAGGACCCCGAACAATATATATATAGGTCAGATAAAAAATTTAAAATTTACTAAGGTCAATAAGCAAATATTTTTCATGTCTACTATACTAAGCAAACTTTTATCTAATCCATAAATTTTTTACACTGCTAAGCAACTTATTTTATGACATATATATTTATATATAATTTTTTTTATAAAATATGTATATAAAAAAAACTAAAAAAATAAAAATTTTTGAAATAATGTATGGATAAAGCTATTATTATTTTTTTGTAATATTACAACTTATAAATGTTTCTTATTAATATTTCATATATCTGTTCTGTGACTTCAGAGCGTAATTTAGGCACTTTAGTCAAAGGAAACATCCAAAACCTTCTTAAGTAAAGTTGTTCTTCAGCAGGTTCAAATCTGCTTACATATAAATTTATATCATGATTGAATAGATATTTATGGATTTATTCATGTTTTTTATAACGCCACCAATACACAGAATTTTTATTTTTAAAATTTACTGTAAAATTTGTCAAAAAAAATATTTTTCTAAGTAAAAATGAAATAACTTTTATTGATTATTACAAAAATTATAGTGTAAAATTATAAAAAAACAGAAAAACACTTATTTTTCCCTTCTCATCCACCCATTGCTCTCATTTTAAATATATATTTTTTAAATATTACACGAACGCGTATATGATTTATAATTTTAATGTTATGTGGACGCGTATTTATTTTATCAAAAACATGTTACATGATCCCATCTAAAAATGTTCTCTGTATTACGTATACAATTAACTTATTCTTTGTATTAAAAATAGTAAATTTTTTTTATACAAATATGTTTATAACTTTGTTTACATATTTTATTAGATTTTTTTAATGTGAAAATGTAAATATATATTATATTATATATATATATTAAAAAATTCTATCCTGCTACGCAAATATATATCTGACTATTAATAATTTAATACTCTGTTACGCATAATTATATCTGACTATTTAAAAATTATGTTATCAAATAAGTAATAATAAATCTCACATAGGAAAAATTTTTATATGTTGGTTAAGCAAACTCAAAACCTACCTTTATATATATTGTTCGGGGTCCTGATCTGAACCAGATTCAGATCAAATTGAACCAGATCTGGTCAGATTCAGATCAGATCAGATCAAATTTAAGCTGAATCCGATCTGAACTGATCTGTTAGAAGCACTAGCTACTTATAAACGCATGTATTCCCTATTAATTGGTATAAGCATATGGGCGCATTTTTGAAATAGGCTTATTAGTCTGTTGTAGATCAAATTGACATATATTTTAAAATTAGTATATGGTCTAAATTATCAGTTTATATTAATAATATTTTAAAACTGTATAATTGATACTTTTCTTATATAATTAATCATGCTAATTTGAGACATATGTTGATTTGGTTATAATAAATCTAACCAATTAATTCAGGTAAGAGGTGTGTCAATAATATATTAAATTATTAAGTCTAACCAATTGTCCTATATAGAAGGGTATGTCAAATTCCAAAAATGCGCCCATATGGTTTTGTGCCATCTTATAACCAAAAAATCCTAAGTTACACTAAGTTAATTCCGGCCAAGAATTAATGCTGGCCAGAATTAAAATTTTATTTAATTGTTAAAACACAAATTTTTTATATTATTTTTAGGTCAAACATCAATGGAAACAATTGACTAAGATCATAAAAGGTCATAAGAATGAAAAAATTGTTTAAACGTCAGATTCAATTTTTTTATGCGATTTTTGATTAATCGATTCAGAAACAATTTTCGATTAATTCAACTATTGCAGAATTAATTCCAATCCCTAGCATGGATTTACTTTATAATAATATCATTAAATTATTTCAAAGTAAAATGGTTGAATGGAGAAACAAAACACAAAAATAATAAAATACTTTTGGAAAAAGGTTTGTTGAATATCTAATAGCAGCATTATGGTACATAGATCCACATTGTACAAAATTTATAGAATGACTACTTTTACTTGAAGAATTATTCAATAAATTAGATCAATATCAAAAAAACTAAAATTATAATCTTTATTATTTTACTGGAAACCATGCTAAATATAATCTTGAGCATAACAAACTTGAAAAATTAGCTTCTTCATTAGAATTATCAGCAGCATAACTATGAACAGCTAGTAAAAATTGGGAGAATATTATTGAAGAAGTCTTTATTTACATCTTCAATGTGAAAATATGCAAACAACTTAGAACAAATTAACAAATCTATGAAACAAATACAATTGAATGATATATCAGCATATCAGCCAGCTAATGATCTAAAGGTATATACAGTAGATTCCTGTCAAAAAATTTATGCACAATACCAATAACTTCAAAATCACCTATCCAATATAGCTAATTATACCAAAATTAATTTGGATAGCTTTTACCTGAAGATGCAATGCAACGGTACCATTATATTAAAGATCTTTTAAATACAGTTTCCTGTTACTTTATATCAGTATTATAATGTCAATTTATACAGCACGGTTTCCACATTTGCTTGACAAATTTGGCCAGAGTTATGCAGAGTTATGCATGAACACGTGATAAAACAGCTGGTGTTGGATACTTTATTAAAAAAGACGGTCTTGATGTAGAATCGTGGTCTTTCGGTCCAGTAACACGTACAATAAAACTGACGGTCTTTTTAAGGACTGCAGTCTTTTTAAGACTGATCAGTCTTTTTTCTTTTTTCTGCAAATAAAAAATTTTTTATTTATAGAACCATTCCAAACGTATATTATAAGCAAATAACATGTATAAAGATGGATTTATTATACTTTATTAACATTAATTTTCTTTTTTACCTTGGAGACAGGGAGACAGTCTTTTCTAGAAGTTTCAATATGCATGTAATAACTTATATATAAAGACCAATACAAAGACCAGGTCAGTCTCAGGACTGGTCCTACTGCGCTAAGAAAAAATGAAAGATCGCAGTCCGGTCCTACAAGTCCTGGGATTGACCGGTCCAGACTGAGTAGGACCGGTAGGACCGATGACCATTTACCCAATGTGAAAATTTATAAACGATTTTTATATTGCTTTACTGTGAATTCGTTATACATATTGAGTTCTAACCAGTATAACCGAGCGAAGCTCTCATGATGATAAAATTATTCTAAAAGACTAATGTCCAAAGGTTAAGAAAAAAATCAATATAGAGGATCAGTGTTGTAGACTTCCTACATTCTTATTGATTACCATAAACTATACTCCATACCATTTTCTTTGTATTCGAATACTTGTTATTGATATCTGTAGTCGAATTATTAATTGCTTCTCATTCTCCATAATTTCAAATAAACATTTCAAGGAACATAACTATCACTTACTGTTATAAAATGCGAAACGATATTCTGGAAGACGATTCTTCATATCAGAAATTTCTTTATATCTGTAGTCTAATTATAATATGCTAATTGTTCTCTTATTGTATGCCCGATTGTTGTGTGCTTGTTCCCGATTACTCTTCAAAGAAATGTTGTAAAAAACAAAACTATTACGCAAACTTTCATTGTCTATTTTTTACTATTATCTATTCTATATATGGTTTATCCAAGTTATCATTAGGTTTATTGTGAAATATACAAATTTTCAATTTCGAATTCGAGTTATCATTTTAAATTAGTTTTCGCTTTTGATTATAAAAAAAAAATTTATTAAAATTATATATAAATAAATTCTTAATATTCTTAATGTACATAAATATACAATAATAAAACGACTTGTTATATTCTATACGGATAGTTTACTATTTATCATATCCAAATATACTTTCTTAAACTTTTACTTCCTTTACTTCTTTTACACTATCCATCTGAACTACTGGTTCATCTCTTAATTTAACAAATCTTTCTCTGTATTTTCTTCTTGAAACTGCTAATAACACAGCTCCAAGACCAAGTAGTAATAAAGATCCTACCAAAGATACTGCAATAATAACACCAGGCTTCACTTTATTTTCCTTCTTATCGTTATTAATACTGTCACCATCTTTATTATGATTATCATCACCTTCATTTCTACCAACATCCATGATTTGAATTCCACTATTGTTTCTACCATCACCAAGGAATTTAGTTGGCACACAAGTTCCAAAATCAGTTTTTGGTAAACCGAAAGTAGCGTCATTACACTTATCTGCTGAAATAACGACTTCATCTCCAGTTTCAGCGAATTTATTAAACCAATTAACAACGTAATCTTTCTGATATGATGGATATTGTATAGCTATCAAATCTTGTAATATTAAATCAGGTCGAGATGCAGAACTTTCCGACCAATCGTCATTTCCATTAGAATTTAATAACTTGTGAGTACGGAATAAAAGTTTTTCTTTAAGAAATCTTGGAAGATCTGATGTTTGATTATATCCAAAGAGATTTTTCCATGCATCAAGTGTACTATATTGTGTAATAAGATCTGACATATCAATTACAATGTATGCTCCAGAAATGTATTGTTTTAAATCGTCAACCGAAAGATCAGTTGTTATCTGGGGATTCAAGAGAAAAGCGGCTAGAAAAAAAAATGATTATGTTATTTGCATGAACTAAAATATTTATAATTTATATCTCTTTTAACATACCTGCATCCGAAGTAACATTTGGATAAAATGAAGATGATTTAATGGTGAAAGTTTTATCACTTTCGAGGGACACCCAAGCAATTGACTTTTTTGTTTCATTTGGTACTTTAGAAAGATTATCCAAGTGACAAAAATAATTGCTTCTAATTTTATCGAAAGCTTCATTAGCAATAGCAGTTTTATTAAAAAAGAGTGACATGTATTTAATCCATTCGGCTTTCTAATTTTTTGTAACACAAGAATAAAAATAAATTAGTGACATACTCTGCATTACACAAAATATAAAAACTGATCAATTTACCTGTAACGCCGGAGTGTCTTCATCATAAGAAATTGTAACATATTTTCCTCCTGTATTTGAAGGTTTGTTCGTAAATATGACGTCGACACTTGAAACTAAAGATGTATTTGCATAATTGAAATTATCATATAAATAATTATATTTTTGTAAGCAGGGAGAGGTAATAGTTTTTTTATCATCAACATATTTTAATGATGTTTTTTCTTCCCCTAGAATCTTTTGTAGTAAAATAAAGACTAATTAATTTTTTTTTCATTTTAAACCGAAAAAAAAGAAAGGAATGAAAAATAATTTACCTCTAAAAATGAAATAAAACTTCGATCAGAAACTACAACATTTGTCACTGGAACTTGAATATAATTGGTGGCAGCAGCTACAGCAGGCTGAGTTGCGGTACAATATAGAACATATGTTTCAGAAGTATGTTTATTAGTGAGAATAACGTAATTATTGTGGTAAGTCACATTAAATCCGGAGTTGCTCGTTCCTATGTCTAAGTTTAAAATAATGAAAAAAACGGAAATTTAATATATAGGTAGTGCGTATCACCAGCATTAAATAAAAATAAAAAACACTTACCATTATCGAAATAAACTTTATCAGGAAAATAGTCGAAATTTACATCAAATGTAGCATCACGACAATCAGATAAAACAGGATGTGTTAAATAACACAATATCGAAAGTACCAAAAGGCATTTAAACCCATTAAAACGTAACATATTCATTATAATATATATATATATATATTTTAGCCTGGAGAGAAAAAATTGAAATAATTTGATCAAACCGAAGCTTAAGGGGTGAATGGGAGAAAGTGCATTTATTTATATAAACACAATGTTTGCACAGTAAGTGGGTGAAGATAAAAGATAAAATGATCTAATTCTATAAATAGAACTAATCTACTCTTCTGCATCAACATTTGACAAAAAGGTCTTTCAAATTTAAAGATGCATATATTATGTGTGACCATACAAAATGATGAATACAACATAGATCGCTAGAACAACTTTAAATATTTAAAGATATTTAAAATACTTTATTTGTGATCATTGCAAATTACCTTACTTGAAACTATAAATAATGCACGAAACCAGCTAATTTAAAAAAAAATAGATATTTTTTTTATTTAAATAGCTGGATATATACATCCCATTAAAATTGACATTTCTGGTCATAAGCCAGATTGTTTCAACCGGATTTTGATATGGTATTTTTCAATATGGTAAATATCATAGAACGTCAATTTTATCATTTTACTATGAAATCTTTCTTTCCTTTTGATGGTTCGAAAGAAGGTGCTTAGATAAGAAAGTTTGATTAAAAGCTTTCTAAGTGAAGTAAAGATTTTTTTTTTTTATCGGTAACTTTAAGAAAGGCACTGTTCGATGAAAAATGCCGTAACTATAATTTTTGTATATCCTTATTTTTATGGTTATATTATTAAAAAAATCGGGATAAACATAATGATAAGATAAGACATTTCTTGTTGTCTTGTTATTATTATTTTGGGAAGTGCAACAAAAATTATTTATAATTTATGTATAATATTTAAAGAAAATTAGATATTATCGTAGATCTCCTTTATACCTTAATCCGTTGTTTGGTAAATAATCAGGCGTTTACAAGTAATACGTTATCCTGTTTTACTAGTATGTAAATCTGCATAAAATCATCTATATTTGGTATTAACATGGTCTCATAACTGCTTATTATAATATTGCTTATTTTTAATCGGCATAAAATCACATTGACATCTATGTTTATGTAAAAATTAAAAGTATTGTCGCGCCAAAATTGCCAAATTAATACTCGTTTCAAAATAAGTATAGTTAGGATGAATTTTTAAATAAATCGGTATTAAAAATAAATTCATTAATATAAATATTACACGTTATTTGTGTCGCACTACTTGTTGACTTTTTTCATTTTTTCACAATTTTTCATATGGTAACAATCTTATCATTTTGGGCTTTAACATTTTCCATCTGTAGTTTTAAGAATTCTGATTCGAAAATAGATTTTAAATTTTTAATAGAACCCCCGTACATTTTTTTCCTAATATTTATTAGTACGCAACCTGAATTTTAATAATAAAATTAATAACTAGTATAATAATTTTTAAAGTAAAAAAAAGATTTATTTTACTAATTAAAATTTTAATTTTATTAATTCAATAATAATAGATCGCAAAACTTCTTTAAATATGTGATTTTTTTCCATACAAAATAAATATAATATAGTCTTATTATTTTGGCATATAAAAATTTATAAAAAAATATTAAGATATTATTACAAAATTAAAATTATAAATATATCTATAATATATAAACTGTATGTAGGACATCTCTTATTTATATTATATAAAAAATCACTTTGCATTGTATCTTAGTAAAGATTAAAATTAGAAAAATAAATTTATTACCATTAGATTTTTCTTATTAAGATTATACTTCTCCGCTAATTAATTACATTATATTTTGGCAAACAGATTAATTCACTATTTATTATAAAATTACTATGAATTAATTATGTCTTAAAATACAATTTAGTTAGTAATTCATCAATTTGATGAAAAGTATAATTAAGATGAATTTAATGGTATAAAATTATTGATTTTGAATTATTAATTAGTTAAAAAATAGGTGTATATCCTAAAATAAGCATTTATTTGATGATGTAATGTTTATTATAATGAATCTATATAATATAAATAAATTATAAAAATACAAATATAGAGTTGTTCTATATAGTAAAAAGAAATAAAAATTAGCAATAGTAAGGTTCTAGTTAATATATTTTCTTTACAATGAATATTTTCCTTAATATATTATGAAATAAGTTAAAAATTAAATAGATATTTCTAGGTTAAATAAATGATTAGTAATTGTCATATATAATATATACCATACAGTTTGCTTAATATTGGGTTATATTATTTTTGTCAAATGATCTGTATAATGTAATATAATATTGTGATCAATAAATTAATTGTGATCAATTAGTCATGTGCAATCTTATTTTTCCTAAAACTTTCTACACAATATGAAGGATTTTTTAAAAACTTTTATTAAATAAATTTTTAATTACTAATTATTAATTTTAATTTTAAATAATATTACATATTTACTTATAATTAATAAAGTGATATTTATTAAAAGTAAAATTTATTTACAAAAAATTCATTTTAATAATTAAAATGGTTTATTATATGTACTAATCTTACAATTGAATTAAAGAAAACTACATCATAATTATATATTTATAAATTTTAAGTATCAGTTCTTTTGTTCTTATTTTAAACTACAATGAAGTATTTCTTCTTTTTTTTTTGCATTGCATAGCAAATTTTCTGGTGAAATAATTGAAGATTTTTATTGAAAAATAGTTGGATATCATAAAAGAAACTTATCATAAATAAGTTTTTGAAGTTTATTTATTATTTAAGAATCATAAAAACTAAGCAGTAATTAAATTGTATTGTTTAATTCAAGGCTATATTTTTTTAATACAGTCCCCCTTCTCTATAGCAAATTTCAATATAACGATATAACAGATTTTCAGTATGGTATCGATTTTAAATATAAAAAAAATCTTGATATAACGAAATTTACTATTTATTTACTGTATAACATAGTATGAAGTAAAGTATGTGAATATATAAAAATATCTCTTGATATAACAGATTTTTTTATAACAAATTTTTTTTTCAGTATAACAAAGAATTTTGCAGTTTTTATTTGCATGTAATTAAATAATTCTATTAATAATTAGATTGATGCACTAAATATTATAGATCAGGATTATATCAGGATCGTATCAGGATTGATAATTCTGGCTATTTTATTTAATATTTAGGCAGAATTATGTTAATTTACATTAATTCAGTTGTATTAGGATTCAATATGAATTGTTATTAATTTATATTTATTACAGTAGTAATAGGATCCTAAAGAATACTTCTGGTTAAATTAACATATCATTAACAAACAATAATTATTGTCCGGAGCGTAGCGAAGGACTATTTATTGTACGGAACTAGATAAATTTGTAGTACCGGTTTAACCCATGTAATTTTTCCTTCCTTCCACCTACGTCATCACCACAATTTCCTTTTTGAAACATAATGCCCCTGCTTATTTCCCTTTATACTTTTTATTTTTAGTAACATTGTATGCAATGTCCTTGATTACTTGATAAAGCAAAATGTATCATGTTCATTATATAAAAAAAAAAGACCCTGTATTTGAAAAAATTTTGTCACGACGCGTTACTCCGCGTATCACATCTGATAAGAACAATAATCAAACAAATAAGTCACATGAAAAAAAAAGTACTTTCCTATTTCCTTCGTCTTACCCTTCCCCTTACTTCTCTCACTTTTTCTGGTGTTTAGTTTCCTTGAGCGTGATATTTCAGGTTTTCATTTTTTTTTTCTTTAATTTTTTTATCTTGATAACCAGTTTTTAACATTTTTTTCTTTTTTAGGCATTGTTTCTTAGCCCTTTGGATACATAGAAACTTGGTGAGAACATCTGCAAATGTATTTTTTCGAATTTATTTATTCTAACAAAGCATTGTTAACATTCAATTTTTCTCTTTTTTTAGATGGTTGATGTTTAAAACAAAATACTGAAAGTTACCAGCAGCACCAAGGAAAAATGGTTTTTTATGAATAAATTTTGGTGTAAACTTGGCCCTTTCAGACTTTTTTTTTTATTTTTCTTTTAATGAAATGTTACTAATAGTTCTTTCTTTTTTTCTTTTGTAGGTGATTCTTTGAGTCTCTTGGACATATATTTTGGTAAGTGAAGTATTCTTTTTACTTAAATCAATTCTTTTAGCGAAATGTTTGCTAATATTTCATTCATCTTCACTTTTTTTAGAGTCATCTGGACGCGTTAGATTTAGGTAAGATATTTTTTTTACTTTGTTATTTGTTTTAACAAAATAACTAAATTTTTACTAGTAACATTTTGTTTTATTACTTTTTTTTAGACAGTTTCTTCAAATATCTATGGACATGAATTTCGGTAAGGTTGGAAATCTGGTTCTCCCTAGATGCATTACGGTATGTGTTTAAATATTTTTTCTTTGTCTTTTTTTTTTATTTTTAACAAAATGTAACGTCTGCTAATATTTTGTTTGTTTTTTTAGTTGCAGATTTTAGGCAGCTTTTGGGTGACGAAACGACTTATTGCTCCGGACTTACAACGGTTCCCGTTTTCCTAGTTTATTTATTATATAGTCAGTTATTGTAAACAACATTAAATTATTTTCTACAAAAAAAGGAATTATAATAAACATTTTTACATAAAAAAAATTAAAAACCTACTTTCAACTCTTTAAAAATATTCATCAGTTTCCATTTCCAAGTTCCAAGCTGAAATTTACAAAAAAAAGTAGAACACTTCAGAAAACATTTCCTACAATAAAAAAAATAAAAAAAGAAACATTAGTAAATAATGTTATATGAAATTAATAAAAAAAAATGAGTTTCCCACTTACTTCTTGTTTCAAACGCCTATTTCAAAATCCAGGAAGTTCACTATAATAAAAAAATAAAAAAAGAATATTAGTAAATGTTCTTAAATGAAATTAATAAAAAAAATGAGTTATTCCCACTTACTTCTCATTCTAAACACCCATTTCAAAGTCCAGGAAGTTCACTACAATAAAAAAAGTAAAAAAGTAATAAATATTTTTAAATGAAATTAATAAAAAAAGAGTTATCTCTACTTACTTCTCATTCTAGGTGTCCATTTCAAAGTCTGAAAAGTTTATTACAATAAAAAAAAATAAAAAAAACATTAGTAAATGTTCTTAAACAAAATTAATAAAAAAAAGAGTTATTCCCACTTACTTCTCATTCCAGGCGTTCATTTTGAAGTCCAGGAAGTTTACTACAATAAAAAAAATAAAAAAAAAACATTAGTAAATGTTCTTAAATAAAATTAATAAAAAAAATGAGTTGTTCCCACTTACTTCTCGTTTCAGATGACCATTTTAAAGTCTGGAAAATTCACTACAATAAAAAAAATAAAAAAAATGTTAGTAATTAAATTATCAGTAATCAGTTCTAAGGTTGCCTGCCGAAACTAAAAAGGAAATTCCAAAAGGTTTCGGCCAATCAAATCAAATGCCGAAAATGCTGAAATTAGGCCGAAACTCAGTCTTAATTTTGGCCAAAATTAAAATTCAGCCGAAATTATGATATTGTGTCACGTGCCATTACACCAATTTCCAAAAAAAGGAAATTTTGTTTCCCAGTAAAATTGGTGAAATCAGTTTCACAAAGGTTACATAACTTTCCAAAAAAGGAAATTTACAATGTCGATCATTTCTGGCCAGAATTACATCCTAAAAATGGCCAGAATTATACCAATAATTTCGGTCAAATTTCGGACTTTCGGCAATAATTTTGGCATTATAAATTTCGGCAAATTTATTTTTGATTGCCTAAACTTTCGGCTACAAAAAAGTTTCAGCCTTGGCCTAAATTACCTAATTTCGGCAAGCAACCTTAATCAGATCAACAAATCACATGATCTATATGAGTAATATGACTGATATACCTATACTAAAGAATTCATTATAGTGTTAATAAAGTTGTTTATAATGAAGTCCTGATCAATTAAGATGCAAGGTTCGTTATATCAAGAAGGAACTGTATACAGTGAAATGCAAGCTGTTTAATATCTTGAGCTTTTTTATTTATATAGGATGTATCCAAGTCAAACTTTTCCTATAAGAACAATAATTGATTATTTTTCTTTAAAATTGATAATTTAAACCATTTTTTGAAAAATAACATATTCAGATAATAATGGAATTAATGCCCATTTTTCTTCTTGATTGTGAAAAATAATATAATCAGAATTATAATTATATTCTTCATTATAGATATTATTTGTATTGAAATTAAATGCTTTTACTTTATTATATAAATCCAGAATATGAAGATCAGTAGAATAGTCAATAACTGATCAACAACTATTTGATCATTGTATAACATATTGATTATTAGGATCTTAAGCAATAAGTGTCATATACCAGATATAAGAAATGTTAAAAGGCATTACTATATCTATCATAATTATAACAAAACATACCATTTATTATTAATAGATTAGTATATTAGAAATATTTATTTATAAAGTGAATATAGTTCATATATATATTAGCAAAAATAAAGTGTTTTAACTTTTAAATAGTTTAGATATAGCTTCATCTTTTTATTAAATTATTTTCTTTTATGTAAAAAATTGGGATCATATGAGCATTACAACATTATATTTTTATTATTTTAAATATAAAATAACTAAATTATATAAACTTTTTTATTATACTTAAAAACTAGAAGTTCTTGAAAAGTAAACGTAAAAAAAATTTTATACTAAATTTTATCTCTAAAGAAATAAGATTTAATCAAAAAAAGTGTAACTTTTTAAATAACAATTTACTAATAAAAATAATTGATATATACTTTACCTTTAACTCTAATCTGATTTTATTTATCCTAACATTGATATTCTAAATAAAATAAAATAGTTGTCAAAAATAAATTAACAATTAATTTTATTGAAAGTCTATCTGATAAGGTCTTAAACAAGTGAAATTTATATGAAAATTTTATACAAAATATGTACTTGAATTTTATATGTATGTAATTAGTATATACAGTCAACTCTCTTTATAGTCACACATTTGGGACAATCCATATTTGGTGATTATTTTACAAGTGTATTGTACGTTTAGTGGCCACTACTTTCCGCACCCTCTATTGAAGGTTATGAAGGTAGGTCGTTCATTGCATCATCCTCACTAAATCATGATGTAAGGATTTAGTGATTCCCTAAGGATTTAATGATTCCGGCCAAAAATTAACATAATTTTAGCCAAAATTATACTTAAAACTTTATTGTATCGTAACTCGCCAATATTAATCGTAGAGAGATGATCTTACCGCCATTCGATTTGTCTTGATGAGACGGTTCTAATGGTATAAAATACGTCGAAATCCAATCACTAGATTAATTTCTGAAATTAAAAAAATATTAATGGTTTTTGTGTAATAACTCTGCCAATATTGATCCTAGAAAGACGATCTTACTACCATTCGATTCGTCTTGATGAGACGAATCTAATGGTATAAGATACATCGAAATCCAATCACTAGATCAATTTCCGAAATTAAAAAATATTAAATGGTTTTTAAGTAATAACTCCGTCAATATTGATCACAGAGAGATGAGCTTACCACCATTCGATTCGTCTCGATGAGGCGATTCCAACGAGCTATAAATCGTCTTTTTACAATCACTAGGTACCGAGAAATCTAGCAAAATGTTAAATGGCGCAGTAAACGTAAATCAAGAAATATTATAATGCCGATGTTTAACATTTTGTTGAATAACTCGTCAGCCAGTGATCGGAAAAGGATAAAACTACCACCATTCGATTCGTCTCAGTGAGACGATTCTAACAAGCTATGATACATCTTTGTACGATTATTAGATGCCAAGTTATTTAATATATTTTTTATATAACTGTGATTATAAATGGTTCTTTTTAATATAAGATTTTTGAGGATAGGTGTGATAGTGACTATAGATAGATTGTGATATATAGGATAGATTTTAATAATAAAGTGTTTTGAACATTCAACTGGTGTGACTATATAGTAGAATGTGACTATAACGGAAGTGACTATAGAGGGAGTTGACTGTATTTGTATAATATTATTTATTTAATTATACAGACCCCTACACTAATTTACCAGATTTCATGAAATTTACTTAGTAATATATAGTAAAATTGATGATTTTCGGGCTGCATAAAAATTTACGAGTTCGCAATAAAATTTGGCCAAATTTTTTTTATTTGAAAGCCAATTGATTATAGTTTTTAAAAATGTAATCAGAAATATTCTATTTTAAAATGCAAAGAAATATTTATTTGTAAAGTAATGGATGAGATAATTTTATATGTAAAAATGAAAAAAACATATAGAAAAATTATTGCTTATACTTTGCAATGAGAAAATTTTTTTATATTTTAAAAATTTTTCTTTTTTGTTTTAATATTTAATAATTATAATTGATTGGCTTTTTAAAAAAAAAATTCTGGCTGAATTTTATTAAAAATTCATAAACTTTTATGCATCTCTAAAATCATCAATTTTACTATATATTACTAAGTAAATTTCATGAAATCCGGTAAATTAGTGTAGGGGTCTATATATTATATATAAATTTATATTTAAATAATTCTATATTTAAGTAATTTTATTCAAAATATTTGTATAAATTTATTTGGCTATAATTATACATATATTTATATTTAAATAATTTTATATTTATATAGATTTTATATGAATTATTTATAATAATTTTATATTTATGTAAAAAATAAATAAATTATTTATATATATTATGGATTTATAAAAATTTATATAACAAATTTATATTGGATATATATAGGTTTATAGATGTTGCATAGATTTTATAAAAAATACAACTCCTGATGAAGTGATTATTTTATTTTTAAAAAGTTGTATAATCAAGCGAAAATTTGGCTGATGAACTCAAAGATCAATGATATTCTGATAAATTACATACACCTCATATCCATATATATATAAAAAATAAATGCCCAAACTATGAATGAAACTTTTACTGATAGAAGCGAAAAAAACTATATTAATTTTATTACATAGCTTATGATATTCTGTATGATTAAAAAATAATATAGTGACTATGGATATGATTATTTTCTGTATAACTTATACTAGTGTTTATTTACATTAATGAATACATAAATAATCACATAGAATTTCATTTAAAAAAAAAACTAATTTAAGCAATTACTATTATAATTATAACTGAAATTACTACTTTAACTAATCTTATGCAAGCTTTAAGAAATTTTTTGTAATTTTTCCTAATAAAAATTATCTTTAAAAAACCTGGAGAGGATATTTGTTTCTTTCAACAATTTTTTGAACATAATAGTTTTATTTTTTTTTGTAAAGACTATTAAAGTAATTCCTATAAAATTAAAATTTATTGGTTATAATACAAAATTAAAAAATGTAGGTAAAGTAACAATAAATAAATGGCTGTACATACCATTAAACTATTAAATGATACTATATCCATTCCAAGTACTTCATATGTCTGTGCTAAAAAGTTTTTGTAATGATATTTAAAATTTTTCAAAGTTATTAGAAAAGTATTGATTTAATATTTTTCTTGCTTTTGCTCTTTTCTACCATTTATAATGAAATATGTCATTACTATCCCTTTTCATTTTCATTAACAATACAGTCTTTGAAATTCAGATTAATTTTACTTAATACTTCATTTAATTTTATGACACATTCATATTAATTATTCACGTCAATTTTTTTGTAATAATAATCTTTAAGTGCTTTATTAATACCATCCTAATTGCCTCTCACTCTCTGGAACTTAGTATTTAGTTTATTAAAAAAAAATTCCAATCCAATTCTGAAAAGTCCTTAAAATTTCTGTTCAAACCTATTCATCTCTTAGAACATTAACAGTGCTGACTGTATTATTTAGCAAAGCATTCGTTTTGCTCAATCTAGTCTTTATGTTATTTAGATTAACTTTCATAACTTTTAATTTGAAATCCATATCATTTAGTTTATTTATTGCATATTCCATCAAAATAAAAGTATCACCTGTTAGATTAAACTGTTTCTCAATCATGTCTTTCAATTCATTATTAGATTTTATTTTCCATTTCTGTCTATTATAAGTTTCATGAAATTTGCAATATTTATTTCTTAAAGTTATAAATTGTAATTGAATTGTATTTACATTTATGCTTAAAAGATATTAAAAAGTTTGCCAAGAATAAGTTTATTTTTGACTCACTAGTCATATTTATATTAGTCTGATAACCAGTCAAATAAATGTCATCAAAATTGGTTTTGAAAAAAAATTGATCACATTAGATTATTTATAACTAATCACTAATCAGTGTAAACAGAAATAAATTAGAAAAGCGCAGTACATATTAGCAATTTTATTTAAATAGTCCTTTGGTAAGTTTTACCAAGATAAATATTGATTAATTTATTTAAGAATATTTTCAACATTTTTTTTTATTTTTTTGTAAAAATACATTTTTTAACATAAAATTTAAAGATAATTAAGGAAAAAAAAAAGATAATTAAGGAGGAAAAAGAAATTTTTTTAATATTTTAAAGAATAAAATATTTTTTTTTTATTTTTTGTAGAAATATATTCTTATACAATTGTAAATACTATGTAAGTATTAGAAGTTTATATAGATTTGCATAGTTTAAATTTTAAAAATTGAATTTATTATACTTGTCTTATTAAAGGATTTAAAGGATAATAATTTTATATTTATGGGATTAATATTTAGCATGTAATTATACTTTAAATTGTCTAGAAGTTTATTTTATAATATCTTTTGTTCTAGTAACTGGATTTTCATAATTTTTGCTTATTATTATTATTAAGACAATTTAAATAGTGTGGTATTTACATGTTATTACATCAACATGTGATGATCTGCATAATTTTGGCAAAACAAAGTGCCCAAATAATTTTGGCCGAGATAGAACATAAGCATTGAATCCATCAATTAAAGTATAGTTTCGTTTATACATAACATAAATTTAATAATCCTAATTTATTAATAATAGAAGTAATAAATTAAAAACCTGATCAATATCTAAAGATAAAACATAACATATTATTTATATTGTTAACAAAAAAAATTAAAATGACACAATATTTCTGCGTATTAGAGTTATTGATAGGCATCTCAGTTTCCACTTTAAGATAATTACATCCTAACGCAAAAGTCAAAGAAAAGGACTTGCCGAGTTATTGTATGACATCCACATCTGTATCCGTATAAGGGCGTTTTTCTGTAAGACCTTTCCACATAAATAATCGGTACGGCTTGATAATATAAATGACTCGATGACTTACTCTCTTGCAAATCTTGCACGTTATTTTTATTCTTTCTCCAATTCAAACCTTAATAATTTTTCGTCAAAACGTTTATATATTTCTATCTTTTCTTATTCTTTTTCAAGTCAAGCTAACTGTTACAATTCACCTTTTCATAAACTTGATCACCTTAGGCAGTCTAATAAATATCAAACATTTTTACTACGAGGAAAAATGTCGGACGAATTCATCAAACCATCTGAATTAGTTGAGATTATAAAAGATACTACTAAAGTTCCTGGAAAAGATTATTTGGTGGTTGATGTTAGAGATGATGATTACGAAGTAAATACTTGTCAGTTATTTAAAATTATATTTTTATATCAAAAATTCTTAACAACAAGATTCTTCTCAATCTATTTTCTTTGTAATCTTCCTTCAAAATAGGGAGGTAATATACCAAATAGCATTAACAGCCCTTCTACAAAATTTCTTGATGATGTTGATGGTCTTATTTCCAAATACAACCAAGGTAAACTATCAGAATATTTTTTATTTAATCAAATAAATCTTTATCTTCTTACTTTCTGTTATTTAGTACCTAGAATAGTTTTCACATGCGCTTTATCTCAAGTTCGTGGGCCAAAATGTGCAAGAATTTTCAAAGAAGTAACAGAAAACATGGGAACTAATCAAAAAGTTCAAGTGTTACAAGGTGGAATCAGTGAATGGCAGAGTCAAAATAAGGCTGATCCTAAACTAATTGAAAATTATGATCCTGATTATTGGGAATAAGATTATTAATATTATATTACTTGAATCGTGCTATTCCTGAGTCAGTAATTGACTTTTTCCATCAAGAGGTTTATTTATTCTACAATGTTAATAAAGTTTCGAATTTGAATTACTTTGCACAATATTTATTCAAGATCAAATTATGATTAAAAGATTATGATAAAGAATCATTGCTTATATATATGAACATAAGAAGAAAAATGAAATCATCCAAATTATACTACAAATAAAACATAGTAACTTTGATATTACTCCCTTCAAAGGCTTCGTTAATAGCACTTTTAACATAACTCAAAGATAACCCATCCAATCCAGTTCCAATCCGAGGAACACTTAAACCTCTAACACCAAGTTGTTCACACAACCTTCTCAATTCCACCAAACTTGTTTCAAATTCTTTACGATCAGGTTTATCGTAAACATAATATTTAGTAATTAAATAAAAAATATAACGATTATCACGTTGAAGATAAGCAACTTGACCGACTTTACATTGTTGAGCTTTCAATTCATTTAATCCTTCATATTTTTTCTTGAAAATATATGCGATACCTTTACCCATTCTAAGATCTTGAGATACGCAATGAGCTAACGCGTCAGTTGGTGGTGCATCAGTGAATAAGTCTCCTTGTCGTTCTGTAAAAGTAAATTTTTCAATTGATGTTGTCGATGATAATGGAGTTGCAGGAGTTGGCGGTGGAGCCGGGGTTTCTTGCGGCGGGGGAGTTGAGGGATAAGAATAAGTTGTATCAGACATCTAAATAATACAATTCAAATAAAAAATTTTTTAGAAGGTATCTCAATTATAATACAAACTTTAAAAAAAAAAAAAAAAAAAAATGACAAGGTGCGAAAATATCGTACATTAAAAAAAGTTATTTGGCCTGAATATTTTATATTAGTAATGAATTATTAATTTTTAATATCCAAATAGCTGAAAATTATTTTGAACAGAAAAGTGTATATATTTTACCTTTACGAATATAAAAGAAAAAAGAAAATTAGAATTTTGAGATCAAGTTAGATTATGAATCAACATCGATTTTTTTTAAAAAAACTAATTACCTTTATATGACACATACGAGAAAATCACGTGATTTTTTACAACGCGTCCAGAAGACGTTTATTTTATTGGTTCAAATCTGACATTAAGATTCGAGGATTCGATCAAAAAACTGCACTCCTTTTCGATCAAATCTGTAGAATCAAAAAATCATCGTGACTACAGTCCTTGACCAGAACGATTATCCTGTGCGTACCAGTAATTATAGATCATCCTGAAATTTACAAGGAAATTCCACTTTATTCGATCACGTTGAAATAATCATTTGAAATCACATGGTAGATATGGGTGGTCATTTTTCCGTTTTTCCGTATATAGTTAGATTATTGATACAATTTTTTTTTTTTTCTATTATGCTTAAGTGTAAGAAAATTTTGAATGTGAAAATTTATTACATGATTAGGTATCTTTCAACTACAAAATATACTAAAAGAAAAAATTTACAAAAAAAGTAGTATTTAAAACTGTAGTAATTACGTAGTTTTCATTTACATTTTAACCTCCAAAATAAATGAAGGACAGAAAATACTTTATTATTATTATCTTTTAATCTCGCCAACTCTAACGTCGTTCATCCCGATTTGATTGTAACCAGCGCCCAGCGCAGCATCAAATTTACTGCGTCAAATTCCTCCTCCTTAATTTTCGTCTATTTGTATTCAAGTTAATTATATCTACAGTATGTGCGCTTTTTGATGACGTTAACATTCGCCAGCGATGTAATTGTTTATGAAATATATTCACTCAGACGCTTGCATTTCCATTCCCAATCGACCCAATTGAAACAGTTTTAATGCTATCAACCAATTCAATATTCTCTTCCTCAAAAAACCATTCACCTAAAATAACACCCCCCAAAATAGCCAAAATTAAAACCTCTGGAAGTGACTCGAACAAATAAAAGACCCAACTATACTTATTAATCTTATCGGTAGGCGGAGAGAAAATCATAAAAGTTCCGTAAACCAGCTCAATCAATAATAAAGCTCCAACAATATATAATACCAAAACCTTTAATTGTTTGTGAATAGGTATATTACTATACTTTATTGCGAAATATGTGACAAGAAGCATATAAAGTGATACGCTAATTAAGAAACTTATCATGGAAAATTTTATTATGGTATCACCTTTTTCTATTGAAGTGTCCAATTCGTCAGACATATCTGTATTGAATTCTTTTATTGATCCTACTACGAATAATGCTGAAAATGCTGGAAGAAGGCATTCTGCCGTTTTTAAGGTGTAATGTTCATAATTTGTTAATTTTGAGCGCCTTTGTGAATTTGAATTACTATCCGTAATTTGAATTGCATTTGAGAGGGTAAGAATCCAATCCTCTAAAAGAATATATATTGCTAAAATTATTATGAAAAATGCGCCTGCAGTGAAAATTCCAGAAGATATCGCAAGTTCAAATGAATCTTGGTTTTTTGACCATGCAATCCGTATAATAAATAATACTGTTCTTAAAAAACTAAATATGAATAATAATTTGTAGACACGACGTCGGGTTTGTATTATACGAAAAAGGTGAAGGCTTGATGCAAGCAGGAAAAGGATACTAAAAATGATTGAAGGAAATAAAGTTGGTTTTGAAGTTATGAAAACAAATGGCGATGGTGACATAGCTTTACTAATATTAATGTGAAAAAATTTGAAATTTACGACTGAAAGAAAAGAAATTTTTTTTTTATTTAAATTGAATTATTATCCATTAAAGGTATAAGTGTACTAAAATAAACCATTTATATAATCGTGTTCTACCGAAAATCATTCAATAAAAAAACCATATATCTTAAAGAGTAAAATTATTTTGAAAGATATTATTATTTCACTGCTTCCTATTTCTTTTTTTAAAAAAAATTTTTAATCTGAATTTCAAGCGTCCAAAAAAAAAAAAAAAAAAAAATATATATTTTTCCATTTGCGATTTATGGATTCTATAAGTACTTGTTCTTGGCATCACATGATTTAATAATGCCAAGCAAAAAAGTAGACCTATTAACGCCAATATTAAAAAAAGCAGGTTGTTCAATTAAGGAAACTAGTGTAAAGAAAAAAAGGACTCCAATATAAATAATTCGATGGTTTTTGCCAAGCTATTTCACGTGATTAACGCGATATAAAAGGACAAAGTTTTTTTTTTTGATGGTGATATTAATTGTGCAGATTCGAATTTCTTGGCAACAATTTTGTGTTCGTGGCGCAGAAAATTTAAATTTTCGTGGCGTAGCAAATAAAAGAAAAAAAATGATTGGCGAATTGTGATCATTTATCATATTCTTTTTATCACTGTTAAGTTTAACTCATATAAAATTTAATGAAAATAAATTAATCCAATTATACAATATGAATGACTAATTCATAAAATTGCCAAGAACTTTACAATAATCGTATAAAGATACGCGATTTTCTCTCCGAAAGATGAAAGGTTTAATGACGAAATTTAGTATCACAAATAATGTTTTCACGAGTAATCATCGCACATGTTATCATTTACAACCCTAAAAGGATGAAATAATTTATCCATGGGTAATTTAAAGGCTTATTTAGAGTATTAAAAATGAGTTATCTATTGGATCTACATAGAACGAATTGTGTAATTTAAAAAAATGATCAATTTAATGAGATGCTGATCTCATGCGCGTCCTATTCTTATTCTTCTGTAATTCGATATAACCCTCGGTACTCGATATAGTTTAGTTTTTTTTTGAATGAGAATACTTGTACGCATTTTATCAGACAAATAAACATTTATTTTTCTTTTTATTTTGGACGCCACTTTAAAGATGCACTTTAAAAAAAAAATGGTCATCAGATGATATAAATAATTAAAAAATGAGGAATAAAATATTAATTTTTTTTTTATTTTATTACTTTTAAAATTATAATTTTATACAAAAGTAGAATTAAATGAAAGGAAAGATATTTATGTTATACCAATTAAATAGCAAAATACATTTTTGCATATGCTGAAATATAATGATAAAATTATAATAGCCATGGTTATGTATTATTATAAAAAAAAACCAATTTCTGATATCAAATTAAAAACTCTTTTCCATTCCATCTAAAACTTGTAATATTGCTAGTATTCCTATATAGACTGAACTTATCTATTACTTTTCTTTTATTTTTATGTTAAATAACTTATTTGCTTTTATTTTTTTAAGTAGTTTGAGTCTAAGTAAGATAATAACTACCAGTAAAAATATTTATAACAATTACTTTTACAAAGAAAAATAATAATTTTTTATTATTATAGATGACATTTTTAATCATAATAATACTAAAATTATTAATAAATTACTCCTCTTATAATATAGAGTCTTTATATAAGAAAAAGCTAATTAATTATTAAGCTATATATAAATGGTACTAATGTAAAGTAATTTAGCATATTGAAATGTAGAAATAGCCAATTTTAATAATAAGTAATTTTGTTATATTAAAATGTAAAAATTAATTTTTATTTTTTAGCACCAACCTTTTTATTTTTAGTAAACAATTTTTAGTTATAAAAAATTTAACCAATATTTATTCCATTAGAATCATACTGATATAATTTTTATTATATTATCCATTTTAGTTAAAGATAATTTAAATATCTAAATTTAATAAATTATTTAATTTTTGATGACTGCATCCTTTTGGATGGATATAGCTTATGATAATTTGTTTGTATGGTATATAAACTTAATATCAATAAAGCATATATAAATCATTAAAAAAAAAATAAAAAATAAAAAAACAAATTATTTTAATTTTCTGATTAGTCAGAATTGTCTTTATGCAATAACTTGCCATTCAGTAATTATAGAAAGATGATTTATAACTTATTAGAATCCTTTCATTAAAAGCATCTGAATGATACCAAACTCATTTTTTTTAGTATTAATAAATAATAAATTGCTATAAAGTTTTTTTAAAAAATTATTTTACTATTTATTGATGCTAAAAAGATAATTTTAATATTATTTAAAAAAGTCCTAATAAAAGGATTTTAATGAATTATAAATTATCTTTTTATGATCATTGGATAGTAAATTATTGCATAAAAATGATTTCAACTAATTAGAAAAACTGAAAAATAAAACTAAATTAAAACTATTTAAAGTTTTATATTTATACTATTGTTAATTATTAAATATAATTATTTAAAATGTATTGGAAATCAGCTGATTTGATAAGGGTAAAAAATTAGATTTTGTAATCAGAATTTACAATATAATTTTTATAGAAATATTACATTTTTTATTAATAAATTATATATAATTTGCAATTATTTTAATATTTAGTAATCTAATTTTAATGAATTTTTTTTATTTTATTTAAAAAAAAACTATAAATTGAAAAAAATTATTTAAATTGAATAATTAAATATGAAAATAATTGTATAATTTTATATTTTATTATATATATATGGATTTTATAATTTATTATACTTGTGATATATTACACCCTTTTTTTGTTATCTGTATTACATCTTCTTTTTTATTTTTTATATGTATTTTGAGAATTTAAAATTTTTTTAGTTGTAAAAAATCTATTTTTCACATTTTAATTAAATATCATATGTTTTAATTTTGCCCAGCATTATATAATTTTACTAAAATGCAATGTATTATGTATTACAGATAAAATAAAAAATAAAATCCTTATATAATATATATAATAATTCATTAATACTGTAAAATTATAAAAATAAGTATCTTTTTGCGATAGTATTTATAAAAATTAAAAATAAGCATTCTATAAATACCTCTAAAAATCAAAAATTACACAATTACTATAAAATACTAAAATTATATTTTTTTATTAATTTTTTTTCTTATTAATATTATTATTTAAATTTTATATTAATAAATAGCTTTATAAAAAACAAATTTTAGCTTTAAAATAAAAATGTGGTAAGTATGGTAAGTATAAAAGAAACCTTTTGCATCTATTAAAGAAACAAATGGTATTAATGTAAAAATATTTTTTTTTAGCATAGTTATTTCTTTAAAAAATAAAAAATATTTTTTAAACACGTAAAAAAGATTATTATAAGGTTTGCAAAAATAAGCATTTTTATCAATTTTATTAATTATATAATTGCAAAAAAAGGTACTTACAATTATTTTAGAATAATCCAATTTTAATAAATTTTTTTATTTTATATAGTATAATAAGAACTATAAATTAAAAAAATTTATTAAATTGAATTATTAAATGTAAGGTTTTATATAGATCAAATTAATCTGATCTGAAATTTAAAAGAAATTTGATTTAATTCAAGTTAAATCAGATTAAATTAATTTGATTTGCATTTAAGTTAATGGGATTTCTTCAAGTTGGACCAATCACTACCCTGAATAATAGCATAAAACGACACCTGCCGATGCCACACGGCAAATCAACTGGCCGGAATTAACGTTAACGCTATCACGTGCAAGTGCATAACTCCTAAACTCGGGCCAGTAATATCGTACACCCTTACTGTACGCCCTTTTTTTTCGCAAATAAAAAATTTTTCCTCATATATGGCACTTTGCACCAATAGCATTTCATAAAAAAAACATATATAAGTTGCTATGTCTATCACTTTACTCTCGTCAAAGGTAATACAACCGCGAATGCTTTCGCTATCGATATTGATAGTGGAAAGTTAGTCAGTCACCTCAAGGAGGTAATTAAAGAGAACAAAAAGCCATTTTTCCGATAGCGTTCCAACCAAAATCATTAAGTCATGGAAGGTGGAAATTAGTGGATCCGCTGAGTAATCTTTCACTCCAAGACCAGGACGAACTCCTTGCAACAAAAAAGATTCGAAGTACTTTCGTCACTCCTCCAGAGGAGCATATCCATATATCGTAAAATTGCCACGTAAGTATCTGGTACAATATGAAATTTTTCGTCATTTGCTCTCGTAAAATTAACACGTATTCGGTTCCAGTTCTCAGCTTGGAAGAAGCGTTGTGTATTCCACCACCCATCACGTATTCTCCGTAATGTACTATATCAAAGTCCAATACGAAGGTTAATGGCGGCTCACCGACAAGTGTACTTGTTCCGCTTCGATCAATAGCTGAGATTCAAGAGACCACAATTTATCCAAGATAAGATGGTAATAAATGAGGAGGCTGTTCGTGTTGCTATTGACGTCAATATTTATATGATATTAAATAGGCTCATGGGACCAGACTGCATATATTCAAGACGACCAACTCATACCACTGACGTACCAGATTTCAACTGCCATCGTGCGGAATTATTGATCTTGGTGATCGGGGCTAAAAGAAAGCATGTTTTAAAAGAAAGCATGTTTTAGAAGATATGGGCGAACAGACATTTCCCGAGTTTTATCATACAAGTAAAGGCAAAGATGTAGTTTAACAAATCTATAATTATATGAGAGAAAACGAGTTTAGATATGGTATTCTTACCACCTATGATTGATCACTGGTTTCTACGCCGAGAGCATATCGGAGCTCTGGATCTCAAAAACTCTTCTATTCTCCATCGGTACTCAAAGCATATGCTTGTCTAACTCGCAAGGCAAAAGAGAATCCTAAATCCCCTCATCATCTAGTACTAGTACCGGCTCACGGAGACAATAATTCACGTACTCTTCGATCACACTCAAAGTTAACTTCCAGTTCCTCATTAAGTCAACAACAAACTTCCGGCAATCAACAATCATCTTCTAACGCCCCTGTAGACTAGCAAAATTTTAGCTTCACGGACTTCAAGTTTAAGAGAATACTAGGTAAAGGACGAAGTGGAAAAACGCTCCTATGCGAATTTCGTGGCGATACGATTGCTTTGAAGAGTGTAGACTTATCGAATGCCCACCGTATAGAAATGCAAAAAGAAGTCGAGATTTAAAAGCATAAAATAACGAAACGGCAAAGGTATTAGAAGCAATCCACAAGCATGGCATACTCCACAATGACATTTGGGAGGAAAACATCTTAATTAACGATAAGGTGACTGATTGACTTCGGAATGCAAGTCGGGCAGACGTAAAAAAGAAGAGAAACCTTTTCGACGAGGAACAGCTTAAATTATCGTAAGGATTTATTATTTCACAAATTCCCGTATTACGATTTCCTGTAATCCTAGTTTCTTATCATTAATAAATGTGTATTTAATAGACATTTCGTAAAGAAGGCGGGGTGAATTTCCAGGTCACGTAAATGTCAGGTGGTTAGTTAGATTGTAGGGTTATACATTAGACATTAGCATAGACGTCATGTATCTCGGGCAAGTCCTAAACCTTTATATTTATTTTTCGCATGTATTAATAAAATTTTTTATTACCAAAAGTGATTAATTTCAAATTACTACGACTATCAAGTTAAATCAAATAAAAAAAATCACGTGTGCGTGAACAACAAAATGTCACGATCAAGCTACTGTCCTTGGAACAGATACCAGAAAACAATTCGGCTGTACAAAGCGGATGTGTTACTGATATTTGCTGAGAAAATAAATACACGTGTTTCAGTTGCACATTCTACTGTTTTCTGCTTCTGCTTCATACGTCGAATTCTCGGTATCTGGCGCAATATCGTATCGAACTTTTATTACACAAATTCTTGGGTACAGGAGAAAGCGGGATTTTATATTCTTTTCTAGCCGGTTCCAAGTTCCGACCGACTTTCCTCCGCAAGTTCGTATCCATAAGACATCGCTCTGTTTACATTGAAAAGATTGAAATGTACTGGCACGAGTTCGTGGCCATTTTCGATCACAGGAGGAAAAAAGCAATAAATCTCCTACGCATCCTACGCAAATGAGATTGGCCTTAGTCTCGCCACAATATCGACACCAAAGGACACCAAGGAAGACATCGGTTTGTTTGCGATAATAATAGTAGCAGTAGTAGATAGTAATACGATTTAACATGGCGCAGGGACTCGTATTAAATGGTCTAGGATACGCGTACTCCCTCCCTTGAAAGCATGTCATATATTTCATTCAATTTTTCTTAAGGATCGCTGCTAATATGTATATTACATAAAATTTTCGCCATATTTAGCAAATGTAAGTTAAATTCGCATATATCTTTATTATTCTCAGATACATTAATTAAAAGAATTAATTAAAAGAAAACTAAATAAAGCGAACACTATAAACGACTATATAAAATAAATGGTAATAATTTCTGCATTAATGTTTCTTTTATTCTTGTTTTGCCGCTTCTTTTGTTTCTCGCCTTTTTTTGACCCTTTCTTTTTTATTTAATTTTATCGACTTTAGTAACTCATCGGTCACTAGTTTTTTCATTCTTTTCGTACCACTTATCAGCTTTTTTTTTCATTGTATAAGTTCATGGATGTAATCTTAAATGTAGCAAAGATTTTCTTGATGAAAAGATAATTTTCCAGAGCCTCTTTCAAATTATGTCCTCCAAATATCATCGATTCATCTGTACGAGACCACATGTAGATGGCACCATCAAGGCCTTTTAACCAGAAAAATTATATCATAACATGCCAGAACAGGATAAAAATCAGTAATATTATAAAAGTCAGCAAGTCTACGAATTTCATAATCATACAGAATATTTTGGTTTGTTTCTTCACGGAATGGATATTTACTTTTCAGCAAGTTAAGAAGCGTGTGTTCGCATTGTATTGCATCATCAGCCAACAATTCTTGCATGACTCCCTCATTTGTTGATTTCTGTTAAAATTGTGCGCATCCTTATGGGAAGATCTTCCTTCCACGGGAGTATCTGAAGTACCGCATTGATTTCTGCACAGTTGCCATAACCCAGGGTTCTACATTCATCAACAGATTCCTATTCAGAAATATGCGCTGGTTCTTTGAGTTGAACATCTGTCAGTTTCTCACTATCCCTTATTTGGTTGTTGTAAAACCTACCATTGATGCTTCAAACGAAACCTTTTTCACTCTCTGACGGTGTCTCTGGCACTCTGATTTCAATGAGATTGTTAATGCTGTAGGACGATATAGCCTCCACAGTGATAGGAGGAGCTACGCGTTCATTTCGACACAATTGCCGTGATCTCAGTCTTCCATTTTCATCAATAGATCCCTGTTCATATCCCGTGGAAGCATGCGCTGGTTGCCTGGTTCATCAAGTCGAACTTCTGTCGTAGATTCAATAATTTTACTTTGGTTGTCGTATAACCATTAATGTTGCTCCAAATGAAATTTTCTTTACCTCTCTGACGTTTTGATTTCCAAGCGATTGTTAGCACTCTGGGACGATTCTCCTCCCTTTTGACTCCATATTTTGTCCAGTTTTCAACCAATTTCAGTTTTCTTTTTTTTTTTATTCAAATTTAACTGTGTACATCATTTTGAAAACGGCGATAACTAGGAAACGGAAAACGTGGAGCGATAAAATTTTGTTGTAACATCTATTTTTAAATTTTTTATTTATCGATGTAGCACAAATTTCAGTGACGTAAGCATGGATTTCAATACTGTGAATAAATAATGTGATTAACGTTCATAAACGTATAGTTCCTTCGCTTTCGCTCCGGACAATAATTTATTAAATCTAAAGATTTTACTTATAATTTAGTTTTTTTCTTTAAATATAATTTCAATTTTCCTATTAAAAAGAATTCAGAAATCTGATTTTTTTTATATATTTATCATTACCAAATTTTTAAATTATCATTACAATTTTTAAATTAATATAATTGACAAATTTTTTAATAAATAAATATCAGTTCTGAGCCATCACTATATTATATTGTTTTACCATGTTTTGTTAATAGTTTCAATTCTTACGATTTTTATAATCAATTGATTTTTAATTTCTTTTCTTAATATTATATTAATGGTTAGAATATAAAATAATTGGCCCATCACTTTATGATAAATCATACTAATAAATCGTAAAAAAATAACATAAAACTGATCTATCATACCTGAACCTATTTTTTTTTATCTGAAATTATGCCTGCACTTATGTTGCAAATAACGCCTTGTGGAGCAACTTTGAAGACTTCACATTTTCGACTCTTGCATATATTTCTTGATTTATGTTATCAGTAACCAATTTTCCAATGACCTTTCTGCACGTGATAATAAAATCGCTAATGAGCTTTTCTTGAAATTAATGATAATCTTACCAAAAAAATAAGGCATGTGATTGTGGTGGCAAATTCCTTTCTTGAACTCTACTTCTATCATTTTTTTCGTTTTACTTAGTTTGCCCTTTATCAATGAAAATAAATAAAATTTCGCCTAATTGGCATGTATATGATATATATAATTTTTATTTATTTAAGTTGCAGATGTTAAATTACATTAAAAAATCAAATATAAATTATATTACATTAAAAAAAGAACATGATTATTTTTAAAGTCTACTGTGACAGATTGGATTAAAATTTAAGAAAAAGTTACTATTACAAACATGTAGATCTGCATTTAACATCAAAACTCCATCCTCATAACACCAATTTCCTTAAAGTGCGAATGCAACATCAAAATCATCACTCGTCTACTATTAATTTGAATTTGCTCTAATAATATGCCAAACACGTTTAATGCTTCCTCGCTGATATAGGTTATGTAGACCCAGTATCAACGAGGAAAATTACAACCTTGATCTTATTCTTGTATTTTACTGTAGTTGCACAAAAAAGCTGGTGATGGAGACCGTATACGATTCCGTTGATATCACCGTCAGACTCTTTTGACGAGTCTGAAAGATATTGAATTTGTAGTTCTTTTGGTATCTCTTCATGAATATCTTTATCGTTAATATCCGTTAATAAAATTTCAAAATGTAATTAGGTAATTCTACTTCCTTGATGTTGGATGGAAGCAAATATTTCTGGATCTACAATACATTGCTCCTTTGGAGAGTGAGGCGCCATCGCTAAAAAGGTGGATTACTTTAAGTACAAGATTCAGATGCAAAATAATAATATTAATGTTTCTTTTTTTTTTAGACATTGCAGCTTTTTGGCCAGTTTATTATCTTATCTCCAAAACCAAATTTCAACAATCCATCCTCTTAAAAAGCTCATCTTATTCTGGAACCATAATCTTTGTCATATATCATATTGAACTAAATTTTTTATGACTTAACAATGGGAAGTTGCATGGAGAATATGTACTGGTTGCTCATTATCGCTAATTTTGTAGGTTTTTCATTTCCAGACCAATAAGTATTATTAAGATCAGCTTGGATACAAAACAATATTCTCGTCTATGATATCTCCAAGGTGAATATTGACTTTGAATAGTTAAGATCCTTTGCTTTGTACAACCATTATAAGCTGGATCATTTGGTCCATAATGACTTTCCTCAATTAACTCGATTAATGCCTACGAATATAGACCATTGATGTTTACGCATTATTCTTGATAGTTGTCTTAAGGGTACCAATACCCTTGTAGAATCAATTTCAACTGGAAAAGCATTTACATAAAGATCCTCTCAATAAATCAACCAGTTTAGTGTTAAAAGTCATGATGGTTCGTTAAAAAAATAGTACGATTAGGTAGAAATCAAAATCAGACGATCGTTTACGCAACTGACTTATAGTTTCACCGGCACGTGATAATGTACAACAATATAAGCACTTCGGAGTTTGGACAATGAATTTTAATTTATTTTTAACTTAATTAGGAATTAAAAAGATATCGAATAAATTTAAAAATTTTTAAATCCCATTATTATACATACATGGGTTAATATGAATGTAAACTTTATTATTATTTAAATATATTACAAACTAATAATTTAAAACTATATTTCGATATTTACAATTTTTTTTTTATTTATATATCTGATATATTTACTAATAACAAAAAAANTAGATGGTTATGGATTTAATGTGTTAGTTGAAGCAATTCCTATAAAGAATACTCGAGCAATCCTCCGAGTCCTCCTAATCTTCCTAATCCAGAAATTTAAATTTTAACCTTTCTATTAAAAAATTTCAAATTTACCATTTTCTTCTAAGGTTTGTACCAATTGTGTAATAGCCGAACGTTTTTGACCTTGATTTTATTTAATATATGATTTATAATTTATATTATTTTATTTTATACTTAAAAAGACTTACTAATTATGGCTAAATCATTCTATATACAGATGAGTAAGAATTTTTAGAAGAAAAAGGAGTACAATTAAACATAGTTCTAAAAGTTGATAAACCACAATAACCCAATGATATGGCAGAATTATTAGCAAACCACATTCCTAAAATAAAAAATAATAAATAATAATTAATTTTTTTCTAAAAAAGACTTTCAATTCCACTCTCTCTATTTAAAAAAGATCAGTACTTACTTCCGTTAAATCTACTATATTTTCCTTGATTACCATTTTGTATTATACCACACATACCACAACTAAATAAACAAAAATTACTATTCCCATTAATAAATCGTTGAGGATTACAACTAATTTTTGTACCATGGAACATTGTATAAAAATTACTATTCCCATTAATAAATCGTTGAGGATTACAACTAATTTTTGTACCATGGAACATTGTATTTGTATGTTTATCCAAATTGTTATTGCTTTTCATACTACTTATTAAATTATTTGTCGTCATATTAGAACCATATGAAGGATTATTTAATAATGTTTTTTTGTATTGTTCATGAGCTTCAACTAATTTAGTAGGCATTTGTAACTTAATTATAGTATGTATACGAGCATGTGGTAATCCTTTAAGGAAATATCTTTGTATTTGAATAAATTCATTATCATGTAAAGGAAGAACTTTTAATTGAGTTTTTGCTAATTTTGATTTATTTGTTGAAATAATTGCATTAGCAGAAGTATCCGAAGATGATGTATCGGATGAAGATGTAGGTGGCATACCATAATTATTATTATATATTGGTTGTGATTGATTAAGTTGTGTTTGTGTTACTTGAGCTTGTGCCATTTTTGCAGCTTGAATTTGAGCTTGAATTTGAGCTTGAAATTGGGATGGAAATTGTTGTGCTCTAGCTCTTTGAATTTGTTGAGATCTTAACATTTGTAATGCTCGAATTTGAACAGCCCGACTTTGTGCAGCTCTTGCTGCTTGAATTTGTGCGGCATGAAGTTGGGTTGCTTTTGCAGCTTGTACTGCTTTAACTGCTTGTGCCTGAATTCGTGAAGCCTGAACGTTATAATCATAATAATTATTGTTATTATCATTTGTATAAGGAGTAAATCCTTGTGAAGATAGTTGAGCTTGACATAATTCACATATCCCAGAGCTAGAATAACATATTAATGTACAAACTGAACATCTTGTCATTACAACCAATCTTGATGTTGGATTAAAATTTAACTGTTGTTGAGACTGTTGAAGTAATTGTTGCTGTTGCTGTGGTAATTGTTGTGTTGGTAATCGTTGGAATACTTGAGGTGGCATTTGTTGTAGTTGTTGTTGTTGCTGCAATTGTTGTGAAGCCAATTGTTGTGAAGCTAATTGCTGTGAAGCCAATTGCTGTGAGGCCAATTGTTGCGAGGCAAATTGTTGTGAGGCAAATTGTTGTGAGGCCAATTGCTGCGAGGCCAATTGCTGCGAGGCCAATTGTTGTGAGACCAATTGCTGTGTGGCCAATCGTTGTGAGGCCAATTGTTGTGAGGCCAATTGTTGTGAGGCAAATTGCTGTGAAGTCAATTGCTGTGAAGGTAATTGTCGTGAAGTAAATAATTGTGAAGTCAATTGCTGTGAAGTCAATTGCTGTGAAGGCGGTCGTTGCAATTGTTGTTGTAATTGTTGTGATGGCAATTGTTGCAATTGTTGTGAAGGCGGTTGTTGCAACTGTTGTGATAATTGTTGTAATTGTTGTGGTTGTAATTGTTGCAATTGTCGTTGTGACGGTGACTGTAATTGTTGTGGTTGTAATTGTTGCAATTGTCGTTGTGATGGTGACTGTAATTGTTGTGGTTGTAGTTGTTGCAACTGTTGTGGTTGATGCGATGGTTGTTGTGGAGGCGGTTGTTGTAATTGTTGTGGTTGTAATTGTTGTGGTTGTAATTGTTGTGATTGTAATTGTTGTGATTGTAATTGTCGTGATTGTAATTGTCGGGATAGTAATTGTTGTGATTGTAATTGTTGCGATGGTAGTTGTTGTGATTGTAATTGTTGCGATGATAGTTGTTGTGGAGGCAATTGTCTGTCTCTTATACACATCTAGATGTGTATAAGAGACAGAGTAATTGTTGTGATTGTAATTGTTGCGATGGTAGTTGTTGTGATTGTAATTGTTGCGATGATAGTTGTTGTGGAGGCAATTGTTGTAACTGTTGTTGTTGTCGTGATGATGGTGATTGTAATTGTTGTGATGGTAATTGTTGTAATTGAGGAGATTGTAATTGCTGTGAAGGTGGTTGTTGTAATTGTTGTGATTGTTGTGATTGTTGTGGTAGTTGTGATTGCTGTGGTAGCTGTGATGGTTGTGGCAGTTGTGATTGTGGTGGCTGTGGTAATTGAGATTGTTGTTGTGGTTGAGATTGTTGTGGTGGTTGTTGTAATGATTGTGGAGTTTGAGAATAATAAATAGAATTATCTTCAATTCCATCATTATTAAAATATAAATCATTTTCAGTAACATTATAATCAGTTGTAACATCATAATCCGAAAGATTATAAGAATCACCACAATAAACGTTACAATAATTATCATTATTGTTAATAGAATCAGTAAAATTTGAAGAAATATTTTCAACGATATTAACGTTATTATTAGAATTTAATGAGGTTTGATTTTGATCAATTTTTTGTTGTTGTTGTTGTTGTTGTTGAGTAGAATTTTGATTATCCAAAGTATATAAATTTTGATTATTATAAATTTTATGATCACAAGGATAATCCAAAGTACTAAATTGATTTGATGAGAAATCTTCCGTAGAAGAAGTAGAAGGAGGAGGAATAGGAGAAGAAGATAAGTTAAAATTTTCAGGTAAAGAATTTAATGATAAATTTGGCATAATGGATGAAGAAGAAGAAGGAGAAGAAGATATTGTAGTATCATTATTATTCATAATAATATTCCCATTTGATGTAGTATTCGTTGTTGTTATAGATGATGAAGAAGGAGATGGAGAAGAAGAAGAAGAAGAAGGAGAAGAAGAAGAAGAAGTAGTAGTTGTAGTAGAAGGTATTAAAGTATTTATACCGGATTTAAATAATTTTGTACGTTTAAATGGTTGTTGTTGTTGTTGTTGTTTAATTGGTTGCCTCTTTGTAATTCTTGAAGGATTTGATATATTTAATAAATTTGTTCCATTTCCACTTTGAGAATTTAAAAAATTTCCACATAATCTATTATTTAATCTAGAATTTAAACGAGTCTCACCATTTAATACAGTAATATTATTATGATTATTATTATAATTATTATTATTATTATTATTATTACTAGATTGAGTCCAATCATTTACTTGACACATCATACTACAATAACCCCCAATTTTATTACCATCATCATTAATAAATCTATTATTACAATCGGATTTTTTACATATTGAAAATTGATTATTTCTTCTTTGTTGTTGACTAATAGATTTAATTTTATTAAGAAATGATGAAGTGTTAGATAATGAAGATGATGATAAAGGATAAGGAGAATAAGTAGTATAATATGTAGGAGAAAATTGAGTTGACGGTGATGGTGAGAAAGAAGTTGTATTTGTAAATTGTGAAGAAGAAGAGGAAGAAGAATTTGATGGAAATTCTGTACAATCCATAACTTTTTTTTTTTGAATTTTTTTATAAGCACTATAAAAAAAAAAATAAAGTTAAAATTTGGTTAACGTTTTTATCTATCGAAAGAAATTTAAAAATATTTAATATTTGAACGGGTAATCAAAAATGTGATATAAAATTTATCATAATTATCATTCAATCATTCATTGATTTTCAAAATATTTACCTGATTTGCAATTTTTTTTATCTCTAATTCGAATTCGGAATATTAATAATAAAAAGAAAATTGATTGGATCATTAATACATGAGGCGCAGTCCAATCCCCATTAAATTTTATTAAAGAAAGGGATGGGTGAACCGGTGAGTCATAGTTTGTTATATATGTTATATGACGGTAAATAATCCGAAAAAGGTATTTTATTAATGTGCATATTATTACGATAAAGGTATGTACCACGAAAAAAATTTTTTTTTTTTTTTTTAAATTAAAATGAATAAAATATTTCAG